AGGTATGCCTTGACGCACGAGACCTCGGCACATTGGTCTTGAGCTTTCTTGATCTTATTGAGATAGAACAGCGGACTGGCAGCCATGGATCTTAGCTCAATCGCATCGATGTTGGCGTCAACCAATTCCGACTCAACAGCGCCCAATTGATATGCCTCTTCGTCACTCGTCGTAGGCATGTGCTCGGCGTTTTCTTGCACGCCAGAAGGCCGTGACATTGCATCCACGTCTCCGTGTTCCAGGTCGATGGCAGAAGACAAAGTCATAATCTTGGAGCATCCCTGACCATCTGTTGAGCTTCCGGTTGCTTCCCTCTGCGTGTTTCAACGCTCTCAACGCCTGGTGGTCGGACACCAACTCAATCCTCGCCCGAAAAGGTACGGACGGAAGTAGCGCACGAAGAAAAAGATTGCATACGCCTCTCTCTCTGTGGCCGACCACTTGCGCTCAGACTCAGCGAAAATGTGGCTCACGTAATGGATCGGTCTTTCGTGCCCTTTGTCGTCTCGCTGGCAGAGAATTGCTCCAATCGCATAGTCACTCGCGTCTGTCTTGAGCACGAACGGCTTCGAAAAGTCAGGCGACACCAGCACAGGTGCCTCTGTCATCTCTCTTGAGTGTGTTCAGTGCGTTTCGTTGGGCGTTCCCCCACTCAAATGGCACATCTTTCTTAGTAAGGTCAGTGAGGGGCCGAGCCGCATCGGCGTAGCCTTCCACGAATCGCTTGTACAACTGCAGACCACCAAGGACGCTACGCAGCTCCTTTTGGTTCGTTGGTTCAGGCTGATTGATGATGCCCTCGACCTTCTTTGGGTCGGCTTCTAGTCCGTCTCGAGAGAATGAAGCCAAGTACGGATATCTTGCGTGCGAAAAAGGTGCACTCACTCGGCTTCACTTTGATGTTTGCTGCCTGCAGCAATCAGAAGACCTCAAGGATGTGCCTGCAGTGATCCTCAAAGGTGCGTGAGAAGATCACTATGTCATCGACATACACAAATGCACTCTTCCAAAGCACTGGTGCTAACGCCTTGTCCATCACCTTTGGAATGTCGCTACGCTGTTGCACAGGCCCATGGGCATGCGGACCCATTGCCCGTTGACCGAGAAGGCCGTCTTGTGCCTGTCTTCTGGGCTGACTTCGACCTGCCAAAATCCCGACGTCGCATCGAGCGTTGTGAACCACGACATGCCCTGGAGGGAACCAAAAGACTGATCGATCAAAGGTGGGGCGTAGCGAGACTTCTGAGTGATTTCGTTGAGCCAGCGATAGTCCACACACAGACGCCAACTGCCATATTTCTTCCTGACCATTACGATAGCCGCATTGTACTCAGAATCAGCAGGTTCGACGACACCGCTGCTCTTCAAGTCGCTCACTATCTTCAGAGCTTCCTCGTGTTCCGCCTGCGCCAGCCTGCTAGGCTTCATGTACGGAGGGATGCCACCCACATTGATACGATGGACGCCAAAAGACGGATCGACATGGCCAAGGTCGTTCTTGTCACACGAGAACATGCCCGTCCGTTGTGCTGCTTTGATCACATCCACTGCCCGTGTTTTCTGGTGGTCCGTCAGGCCTTTGCCGATTTGTATCTCATGGGTGATTTCGGCAGCACCTGGGTAGCTACGGACGTCTTCTGTTTGTGGCTGCGTGGCCATCAAGTGATCAATCCGCTCTCTATCGATCTCACAAGGTACGACATCAGCATCAGCCACTCTGACTGCTGTGATCTGTCCCGCCCCGCCAGGCAACGACTGTGTCTCGGGTGCTGGGAGTACGGCAAACCAGCCTAGCAGGCGATTCCTGGGGAGGACGACCCTCTTGTGTGACGTGTTGCTGATGCAGATGTACACACGACGGCCGGATTTGACTTCCGTCACTCCATCGTCAACATGAAGCCATGCGCCTCTTATGGTACGTGAGCGCTGGATGCACTAAGAGACAACCAATCTCCCCTATCTGTCCATCGCCAGGTCGGTCAGGCCCACTCAACCGTGCACGCACCCATGTGTCTCTGCCGGCTGGAATGGCTGTCTTCTTCGTTATGAGGACCTGGTAAGTCGGCCTCTTCTGTCCCAGAGGTATGTCCAATCGAGCCAGCCCAACAGCTGCGATGCTCAGGCCATTTGTTCTGCCTGTTTGTGGGGCGTGTATGTCCATAGGTGGCCATCTCGGCCGTGACGTGACGTGCACTTTGCCATTGCTGTGGTCAATGATGACTTTTTCTCCACGGATTGCTTTGCCGCCAAGTAGGACGACATATTTCGGGTCATCAACGACATAAAAATCGACAGCTATGGGGTCGGCGATTGTTCGTGTGTCTGTCGTGTCAGGCAACAAAAAGGCCTTAACGACCCCCTTGACTTAGCTTGACGTCAGCAGGACCGATCGTCACTTGACTATTCCCTTCTCGAAGCTTGTCGAGCATCCGGGCACTCATCGAACTCAGGTCAGCACTAGTATCAACCAACACATGCATTCTCACACCATTCACTCTCATTCGTACGTATGTCTGCCATCTGATGCAGGCACGCCATCCCCATCTCTCTCGCGCGTTTCCGCTACGCAGCAATGCAGCCTCCCATTCGAGTCGTCATCAATATGATGCACAAGTGCATGAGCCACTGGTGTGTCACCACGCCATCCAAAAGCACCATACTTATTCTGACCCCTTCCGTCCGTGTCTGTGCCGTCTGTCTGTGTGTTAGGTCTCGTTGCCTGAAGAACCTCGCCACAGGAAGGCGTCCCCTCCTGCCGTTCTTCCTCTCCCTTGGTTGGGGCTTCCGCATTGCCTGCGGCCCGACCATGCGCGGCAACCTCATCATCGCGCTCCATCGGCTGGCACTCCTCAGCCGGATCGACTCGTGTGGCCTCACGTCCAAGGCAGGCTGCCGCCGAAGCCGCCTTCACCTCTTGGTCGCCACGAGCGGATGGATCGACTCTTTCTCTTTCTGTGTGCACTCGTCGACTCGCGGCTGTTTCACGAGCCAACGACGAAACCTCTTCCAGCTGCCGGCCGCAGCCAACAGTGGGATCGACTCTCCTCTTTTTGAGTGCCCGGCAAGTGTGGGGGTCAGTCAACGCGCTTGGCGTGTACAACGTCATCACAAGCTCACGCATGAGCTCATCACCTCGACACCTCACTCTGTCGGTACGTGACAAATCAGTGTCTGCGTGCATTGCTCTGACTACTTGGCGGTTCCCGTGTGGTGTGTGTAGGGCGGTCTCTCCTTGTATTGTGTCCCCTCGCCCGCCCTGCTGCGGAGGGCCTATTCGTTTCCCAGATGCGGGTGCGCTGGCGGTGGTGTGAGAGAAGGAGGGGCTACGGAATTGGGCTCCAGTCTGGTTGTCTTTGCCCCTGTTGTCGGTGGTGTAGGTCTGTATCCGTGCTGCTGTCTGGCTTGCCACTCCAGCATGTGTCGCTGCCTGAGTCGGCAGTCCCTTATCCGATGGCCTTGTTGTTTGCAATAGTGGCAGAGGCCATCAAAGGGGCGTCTTGTCGGCATGTTGCCCCTGTTTCTGTCCCACTGTGGGCGTCTCGGCCACCGTCCATTGGTGCCATTCGGTGCCCTTTGGTTGCTTGCCCCATGTGTAGGTGGTTTGTATGGGCCGCTTCTCAGCTCCTTGATGCTCTCGATGACCTCTGCCTTCATGGCATTGACAGAGGCAAGCACCGACTCAACACACTTCTCGCCTGACGCTCCTGTTTTGGCTTTGTTGGGCTGCTGCTCAGGTTGCTGACCGACCGCATGTAGCTCATATCGAGCGGCTTTTGATGGTCGCGTCATTTCGGCATCGCTTTCTTCCTCTTCATCTAGTGGGTGCTTGCGCGTGCGCATTACAATCACTTCAGCGTCAAAGCCGATATCCTTGATGGCGCTGAATGAGCGTGGGTCGGTGTTCTTGCGGTATATTTCGTCCCTCAGCTGGCGCTGCAAGCCACTGATGAATAGGTCGACTGCCTCTGGCTCTGGTTTGCTTGACTTGTCGTAGAGTTCGTAGAACTCATCGTATGCTTCCTTGAATGCCTGCTTGGGCTTTTGCCGCCATGCTTTCATGGTCTCTGCGATCACGAGTGCCTCTGATGGCTTCTGCCCGAATTCCTTTAGTAGTAGCCTAAGAGCAGCTCTAGCTGTACTGCCTTATTGCTACTACTCTTGAATGCACTCCCCGGTTCATTCATCCATCGGTTCACCCTTCTGAGTGCAGTGCCTTGCAGTGCAGCCATGACGTATGGCAGTATTTGACCTCTCTCGAGGTTATGCACTTGCTCATCTGCCCTGACCCCATCAATGAATGCATCGACAGCAAGGTCTGACGTGCCTTTGAAAGGCTGAAGGTTCACTTGAGGCCTCTGTATGTCATGTGCTGGCCTGCGGTCACCCTGGCCAAAAAGACGGCCGCTGCCCTCATGCACGTCTGTGTGTGAGAGGTCGATTGGGCTACTTGTGCCATCATTGACATGCGCCAGTGCGCCTTGTTCATGTGGTGCCTCCTCTATGGCTGAGACACCAGCTACATTTGCGTGTGAGGCCTCCTTGGTGGGTCGAATCACTTCACGTGATGGTTCACTCACACGTGTCCTTTGCTTCCTCGGCTTAGCCGCCTTGGTGATCGGCTTCGCCGCATGTGCAGGAGAGGATCCCTGCGTATCCCGACCGCTTCGGGTCTTTGCCATTGTGTCCAGTCTGTCGTCCAAACACGACGTCACTCGACCGCCGTGCTTCGCTTCACGGCAGATGCACCAAAATGCTCCCGGGTCGGCTTGTGGCTGTGCCGATGGAGCCGTGTCTAGTGGTAGAATGGGTGAGTGATGTAACTTTGAACGACGGACACTAAGCCAACCTCCAGAGGGCCCGGGTGGCCACCCCAGAGCGAACAAGAACTTCAATAAACACCATTGAACCAAAGTTTGACAAGTCCAATACGTACACATACACTTCGGTTCAGTTCTCCCCCGATCTTCCTCGTCTTTTGCCTTCCCTAACTCGCTTGACAGAATAAGGGCGGTTGCCTTAATCTGTCAGTTTCACAACGGCTACCCTAATCCTGCTCAATTCTAGAACACGGGAGAGATGCTGACATCTCCCTCCCTTCATCAGCGCAGCGGTATATCATCAACGATGAGGCGAAATGCTCTTCAGTGTCATGTTTCTTCTCGTGTGTTAACTGTCCGTGTGTCATTTCATGCCACCCTGTAGCACTGGGCCAGGCAGGGAGACAAACACGGGAAGATCCAGGCACACGGCCTGCAGCAGCGGTCACGCCCTAATAGGCACACGGCCTACCTTGACACCGGCTCACGGCCGGAAAAGGTAACTCCTCAGGCCCACGGCCAATCGAAACAAGCGCACGGCCTATCGCAAAAAAC